AGACAGGTAATATTTCTGTGGGTATACTGCAAAAGAAGTATTTTCCAGGGAAACTCCTTTCGTTTGAACTAAGACAGGATCTGTCTCTTATATATTTGTTTACCAGAACGTAGAAGAAACTCTGTGCTATGATGAAGGCTGAGGCAACCATGTATCTCTGAAATTAATGGGCATATATCACATTTTATTAACCATTTCTTATTTCATTTTATTTTTTGGTTAATCTTCACTGGAGAATATTCCCATTGATTTTTTCAGAGAGAGTGGAAAGGAGGGAGGGGTGGGGACAGGGAGAGAGAGAGAGAGAGAGAGAGAGAGAGAGAGAGAGAGAGAGAAGAGGATTGGTGTGAGAGAGACACATCGATTGGTTGCCTACCGCACACTCCTAACCAGGGCCAGGGATCAAACCTGCAACCCAGGTGCCTGACAGGGGTGCTCCAGCCGACACGCTAACCACTGGAGACACCACCAGAGCAGTTTAACCATTTCTTTAACCACCTCACACACAATTTTTATTGATGTTGCCAATCATTTTAATTGTTCCCTCTTTCCTCCCCCTCAGCTAATGAACAGTAAACGGACGACATTTTACAAACTGGCAGGGTTTCAAAGGAGGAGACACACAGAAGGGTTCAATGGAACATCTCTCTGCGTGTTGACTTTATTGTTTCAACAGTGGCTGACACTGCTTCATGGACCTTTGCATTTTGTTTCTTGCACAGCCAGCTTCCCAGGAGGAAGTTTTACCCAAACAACGTGCTCAAGAAGGGAAATTTCTTTCTGTTAATTTTCAAATCTCAGACATCAAGTGCATTCGTGTGAACACAGAAAGAAATATTCAGAGGACAAACAGGTTTTTAAAAATCACCTTTCCCCCACTGAAACCGGTTTGGCTCAGTGGATAGAGCGTCGGCCTGCGGACTCAAAGGTCCCAAGTTCGATTCCGGTCAAGGGCATGTACCTGTGTTGCGGGCACATCTCCAGTAGGTGATGTGCAGGAGGCAGCTCATCGATGTTTCTAACTCTCTATCTCTCTCCCTTCCTCTCTGTAAAAAAAAATCAATAAAATATATTTTTAAAAAATCACCTTTCCCCTCCGCCCCTCACATCGAGCATGACACACAGCTACAACAGTAGACTTCGACATGGAATGTTTCCCAGCTTCCACAGGTAAAGCCAGCCCGTGGCCCCCTCCCAGGACTCACCTCATTGACATACATCACTGGGAAAACCATGGTTCGGATGTCTCCCGTTTCACTGCAGGGACAAAAGATGAGATCTTTTATAGACATCCTGATCGTGAGGGCACACTGGTCTGGAGAGACACGCTTATAGGAAGATGCCAGCACACTTATTTCATTAAATTACTCAGAATTTAAAGAGACTTGTTAGTTATCTTTGAGAACACATATTGTTCAGAAGTTAGATTCCAATCTATCAGTCTAGCAATTCCAAGTGTTGCACATTCATGTACACTGTTTTTATCAAAACACAAGATGCTGAAAGCAAATGCCTCAAAATGATTACAATTCTCCCAAGAGTCAGAGGGGCGGCTACGGCTGGCAGAAGAATGCTGCCAGTCCTCAGAATGTTTTGTGACTAGGCTGCCAGGTATCATCTTCACAAGAGCCCAGGAAAATCACTTACTGCGCATTCACCAGCTCTGCACCAGTGTTTTCGGGGACATTATGTCATTTACTTCTCACAGTAGCCCATGTCCCAGGTTTAAGAGAGTACATTATGGCTCAGAGTAATTTGTCCAGGACCACCAGAGCAAATGGTAGAGCCAGGATGGTAATTCTACTTTGAATCTAAAGCACCAGACCTTAGCTACTAAACTATACTGCCTCAGAAATACACACGAGTGACAAATGCATTCATGCAACCCACATTTGCTTCCTAGAAATATCCGTGATTGTGGGCTTAAATCTAGTAAATTTGATGGGGGAACCAACCAAGTTTTATCGACAGAAAGAATAGGATAAATATATGATATTATGCATAGTTTTGTATCCTCTTTCTTCCATTCAACAGTAAATCATAAGCATTTTCTCATATCAAAAAAATTCCCATCGAAAAGTTGGAGCAGGAAACTGTACTTAGGGATCCTAATTAAGTAGTGGTTTTTAGCTGGGAGGAAAGGCTGGACGCAAGAGGCCGTTTTAACTATCCGAGTGGAGCTTGTGGCTGGCCCTGGGTGGGAGCGGTGGGGAAGGAAGGAAGGAGGCAACCAGAGTCAAAGCAAGGGGAATGCTGAGTGGAGTGGCAGGAGCTAATTCTGTAGCCTTACTAGCTGTGTGAGTTCTAGCAAGTTACTTAACTTCTCTGTGCCTTGTTTTCCTCATCTGTGAAATGGGGATAATACAGTGGGGCCCTGACTTATGAGTTTAATTCGTTCTGAGACCGAGCTCGTTAAGGAGCTCGTTAACTCAAATTACTCTATCAACTCAATGCAAAAAATCAGCCGAGACACAGCTGGTATCTCAAAAAACTCGTTAGTCGGGACACTCGTAAGTCAAGGCCCCACTGTACAAGGTTATTGTGAGAAATAAATGAGTTCATATATGCAAAGTACTTAGAACAATGCTTGATTCATGGAAAGCACTGTATATGCATTAGGTTAAATAAAATAAGTAAATTACAAAACCAAGACTGGCCATCCCTCATCCCTGAGGGGTAAGGGTGAGTGGACTTAGAAGGGGGCTGTCTCCCTCCCAGCATCAACCCCACCAGAAAGTCACTGCAGGAAAACGACCCTTTGCTTCTGTATAAAAAAGCAAAATTTACCTAAAGCCATCTATTTTTTTGACATAAACGTTGATTTGGAACCTCTTGGCTGCTCTTAGGATAAATCCAGTCAACTGCAAACCACAGAAGTAGAAAGAAAACATGATTAAAATCACAAACACAATTGTTTTCAATAGCGCACCATTTCTGTGTGGCTCTGATAAACGGGGTGTCCACTGCCGTGTTTGACAGGCACAGTGGGACACAGGGAACCCTGGCCCCAGAACAAAATGGTAGATGTGGATTATTTTTAGGTGCCTGGTAGCCCAGTGTTTCTCAACTTCAGTATGCGCCTGAGTTCTTGTTAAAATGAAGGTTCTGACTCGGTAGGTCTGGGGTGGGGCCTAAGATTGGGCCTTTCTAACAAGCTCCCAGGATGCTGCCTCTTTAAACAGCAAAGCCCTAGAGGACCCTGGCAGAAGGGAGACCTGGCAGACACCCTGTCTGAAGGATGGTTGTCGCTGCCAGAGAACAGTGCCCAGGTGTGGCCGGGCCCACCCAGGAAGAGCAGCCGCTGCTGTCATCTAAGGTTATGGGACTGTGCCTCGGCCTTCATAACAAGCACCTGCTAACAGTTTGGCTGATGAAAAGGAACCTACTGGTGGCTAAGAGAGAAAAGGGAGAAAACCACACCTGATCTTACTCACAAAAATAAGAACACTGACTTCTCAGATACAAATGAACTGAGTGTAGCAAAGAGTGAAGTCCCCCCGAATTGCTGTGCTAAGAGAATGTTTTGCTTTTCTCTTATTGTGCCATGTGTTCAAAAGCCCAAGAATGGAGACATCTGGCCTTTAATTCAGTCCCTACAGTGAGAGGCTGTTGTTACTGTATACCAAGGGTGGGGAACCTTTTTTCTGCTAAGGGCCACTTGGATATTTATAACATCACATAAAATTATCAACTTAAAAATTAGCCTGCTATATTTGGTCAAACATTTAATTAACTCACCCCTAATGCCTTGGCAGGGCCAGACCAAGTGATTTTGTGGGTCTTATACGGCCCATGGGATGGACATCCCCCATTCCTGCTGTAGACAGTCAGGGAGCTCCAGGGAGTCTCCCCCAGACGACACAGGGGGGAGGTTCCTACACTGAGAATGCCACAAGCTAGAAAGATGCATGAACAGGGCCCATCTCGCCAAAAGCTAGAAAGACAATTGGGTAGAAAAAAAGCCCTCCCCTCCCCTTCCCTAGAAGAACCACAGGCTTGAGCTGGAAGGAGAGATGGTCTTTGAGACAGGAGTCCACCATTCTCCCAGGTCATGGCACTTGAATAAATCTCTTTCCTTTCGAATCAGCACCTGTCTCACAAGTGTGGCTTTCATTACAGCAGGCAGACCAAACTGCGTTTTTGGTGACACTGTCACACTGTGAAATGATACTCATATCCTTTTATGCTTTTCTTCTCTTCTATGAATATAGGATTAAAGTGTATGCATACTTGATGCCTTTTAAATGAATAGTATATAATAAACTCTCAAAGGAAGAGGTTTGCCAAAAGTGACTGAAGCTAATATATACACAAGGTGTCCCCCAAAAAGGTACACACATTCTAACAGCTGATAGCTCAATCAATGCTGCTTTTTCAGATTTAATCCACTGGAATTAATCATTACCTGTATACATTTTGGGGGGACACCCTGTATTTAAATTTTAACCAAAACATTTTTGGCAGTAAACAGGAACGTCTTCAATCTTGCTGATCTGTGCCCCCGTGGGAGAAATGTATGTATGTTGAGGTCCAAGGCTGGTGACAGAAGATTGACCAGGTTACCTGGGTCCAATCTCCCTCGTTTTCAGTGATGGAATGTTCCCTGTTGCTGTTTTGTTAAAGCAGGTTTGCTGGTGTTTCTGTACATTAGGACCACAGAGTTCAGCCTTCCAAATGGAAGAATAGGAGGCTATACATTACATTGCACTGAGCTGCGTTTTCTCCATTTGCTTGTATATGAAAGGGAGACAGTAGACTTAAGAGAGCTAAGGACAAAACCATGACCACTGAATAGACAAAATGAAACATATGGCCTTTTACCAGAAAGAGGTGTTTACTCACAGGATTAATGTCCACAAACGTCTCATGATGGTCCTTATTTGGATGCATGCCATCTATGGCAGACACAAAACTCTGATCTGCTTGGTAGAAGTGTGGGAAGGATAAAATAATAGGTGCACCTGCGTTTTAAGGAAAACAGAAACAAATGATGTGGTTCTGGAAAGGCTACGATAAATATAAAGTTTCTGACCACAAACCTGGTTCCTAAGGGGGAAAAGGCTACACATAAGTAAACCTGGGTTGGAGGGGGCAGGCTAAAATTCCATTCTACACCTCCTCATGCAGGGACTATACTCCATTTTCTGACATTTCGATATTTTATTCCACAATATGTACTGAAGTCCCAGCTAAATTATTCTTTAACAAACATTCAACCTATAAAAGTAAATGCTTTATACACATTATTTTAATTAATGTTCCCAGCATCCCTATGACGTTAGAAATATTCATTTTGCATTTGAGGACAGTGTGGTTCAGAGAAGAGACAAAATTTAGCCAGGGACATCCAGCTATCAGGTGACAGAGGTAGAATTCTAATTGAATCATGGATGCTTTATTTTAGCTCAAAGCACTTCAAACCCCGTTTCAACTACAATTCTCTACCAGTAAATGACTTTTTTTTTGCTTGCTTTTCTGTTTTTACTTTATCTAAGATAGGCTTTGTTCTCCAGCATATGTTGGTGCAGAATGTTTTAAGACTGTGCTTGGTTCTGACATCTGCCCAGCCTCAGACTAGATCAAGGTCTGCCCACATGAAGACTCTGATTGTGGTTCTTTTGTGTGTGTGTGTGTGTGTGTGTGTGTGTGTGCGCGCGCGCGTGTGTGTTTTGCCTTTCCTATTCACTTTAAAAAAGAAGTAGGGAAACAATTATTAAAGAAAACCTATTCTAGATTTTCCTATTGAGGAGGAGAGAGGGACCCTATAATTACTTTTAGTAAATATATTTTTGAAGAAATTAGCTTATTGGCTAGTAATTTCATTCTGTTTACACATCCACCAGTCCCACAGCTCAACATACACATCATCTGTCACACACACACAAGGGTTTTGCTCTTTACTACTGGTTTCACAAAGCCATCATTTCCTTCTTTGTGGCCTACAGTCACCTTTAAACTATATTTTTAAAACTCTATTGAGGGTTTACTAAGGGCCGGACACTGTCCTGTGTGTTTTACCTCTATTATCTCTAACCGTCACACAAGCTTAAGGAAGTTATAATCATCCCCTTTGATATGAATGAGAAAACTAGTGTCTAGAACCCTGCTCAACCAACTGGGCCAATGTGCCAGAAAGCAGGATAGGATGCAACCCCACATCTCCCCAACTCCAGAACACTCACTTATCCCACCATCCAAATTGTTACTCCAGGATTCAAAACACTTGAGGGCAATCCTGGAGAGGTAACATTCCGTCCACATTTGCTAATTAATACGCAAGAGGCAAGAGGGAAAAAATTGACTGTTGCAAAGCAGAATATTCCTGTTTATTCAGCTATCAACTTCTTGAGGTAGCAGAACATTAACAAAACAAAAATACATCCACACTTATGCCTGGAGCCAGAGGCACATGGGCTGAGTGGACGGGGCACTATTCAGCCAGTGAGACAGTAGGACAGGTCAGAGCAGAAACTCGTTCCCATTCATCTTTAGTCTTATCTCCAGATGAGGGGAGCCGTGATCCCTGGCACTGTGCTTCCCAAACACGCAGGCATCACCTTCACGAGGATCACCAGCAGCTCATGTTAAAATACAGATTCTGGGGCCCTGGGCAGATATGTTTAATGGTTCTCCAGATAACCCTGGTGCAAGGCCAGGGTTGGGAGGCGCTGCCCCCTCAGACAAGGATAGGGAGGACACTGCTGACCTCAGGCTTATCCCAAAAGGAGATTTTCAAACTAACTGGACAGGAGGACAAAAGTTAGCATGTTCCTTTATCCAGGAGAAAAGGACAACTTTATTCAGGAGAAAGGGGTTACCACATTTCTCAAGAGGAACTGTGAAGAGGAACTGTGGCCTAAGAAGAATCACAGTCTGAATATCAGACCCTCGTTCCAACAAGGACTGGCTGGGAGACAGGATTTGATAAAAATCAAGTTCCCTCTCTGATCCCTGGTTTCCACAGTTATAAAAAGAGGCCATTGGCTCTCTCTCTAGCAGAGGTATTGTAACTAATTATGCAGCATATGATCGTTAAAGGTAGTCCTCAAGATGAAGACAATTAGTGTGTCTGTTGCACCACTGATAATTCTGCCTCGTTCATGGAAAGGAGCGGAGTAGCTCAGACACTGAGGAAAACGGAGAAATTTGCTTTGAAGTCGTTGAGACTCTACCAACATCGGTACTTTCTCATTACTGAGCTCTCCACTCCCTCCTTTGGCACTGTTTTGAATGTGATATCAGGTCATGCTTCTCATGTATTAACTACATGTAAGTACATAAAGTACATAAAACAGTGACTGGGACTAGTCAGTGCTAGTGACTGGGCCTAGTCCAGTGGTCGGCAAACTGCGGCTCGCGAGCCACATGCGGCTCTTTGGCCCCTTGAGTGTGGCTCTTCCACAAAATACCACATGTGGGCGTGCATGTACAGTGCGATTGAAACTTCATGGCCCATGTGCTTTGGCACTGTTTTGAATGTGATATCAGGTCATGCTTCTCATGTATTAACTACATGTAAGTACATAAAGTACATAAAACAGCTGACCACTGGCCTAGTCAGTGCTAGTAGACATGAGCTATTATTAAGACTTCTAAACTGCTACCAATAAAAACCATTGCAGGAAAGCTAATCATTTTATCTTTTTTCCATTCTATAGCCAGGCTATGAAACGCTGTTCTCGCCAGGTCAGAATCGTCCTTACTGTGGGGCTGACAACGCTCTTGGTTGAAGAACACCAATTCTCCATCCCAGACACTCGGAATCATGTCACCTCTTACCGTTCTTGCAGATGCTGACATTCAGAACTCCTGAGCCCAGGCAGTTTCCTGCGGGTATACAGAAGCCGGCATTGTCGGAGGTGTTGGCTAATGCTTCATAAGGCACCGTAAACCGAAAGGCAGGCAGTCCCTGTACACTCTTATAGTCACTGAAAGTTATATGCACTGACCTGTTAGGGAGGAAGAACAAAAAGTCAGTGTGGGCTGCAGTCAGCACAATCTGGCCTGAATCAATACGTTAGCGACAGTTCTCAGGGACAACACAGCTAAGGCTTAGAGGGCAAGCGAAAGGGGAAGATGCAAAATGAAGCTGGAAAGGAGCTCTACCCACTCCACGTGTAATAAAGGAGGAGATGAACTGTAGAGAACGATGTTTAAGAGGTAGCAACTGTGGGAATATCCAAACAAGGCCATGAAAAAAAAATCTGTGGTAGAAAATGAAGAAGATGACATTTAGGCCCTGGCCGGTGTGGCTCAGTTGGTTGAGTGTCATCCCGTGCACGGAAAGGTTGCTGGTTCAATTCCCAGTTAAGGCACATGCCCAGGTTGAGGGTTCAATCTCCAGTCAGGGTGTATGTGGGAAACAAGTGATGGATGTTTCTCTCTCATATCGATGTTTCTCTTTCTCTCTCCCCCTCTCCTTTCCCCCCTCTCTCTCAAATTAATAAAAACATTTTTTTAGAGATGACATTTAGAATGGAAATGAGTGGTCTAGACCAGCAGGGACACAGGCCAGTGTGGGGAAAGCAGAAGCAGAGAACAGGAAGCAAGGGTGAGAGAAGCAAAGCCAAAGCTTGGCCTGGACAAGTGCCCCGTGAGACAGATACCTGACTAGAATACATGCTTTTATATGCATTTCACCCAAATGAAAATAGTTTCACATTTTGCCCATCATCGATTTCAATGGAGGTCAACACATTTCTGCCTTCAGTTGTGAATGGAGTTTCAGTGGTCCCCTGAAATACTAACCACCCTCATGCTTGCATAGCACCTGAGTACAGGCATAACCCCGAATTTCAGAAGTCGGCTTTATGCAACTTTACTTCTACCAAAGGCCTACATTAGTACTTGTTTTTGCTAACCAAAAGAAATCTGAAGAGAATTTTTGCTCCTTCCTGGGAAAAGGTGAAAAGCGAAAATAGCATTTGTTTGCCTGGCCA